TAAACCGCTAGTACACGGCCCCAACCTTGCTGAACAGAAACTCATCGCCTACGAGGCGCCATGTGAAAAGGACGGCGCAGGCGCGCCGTCGAAAAAAAAAACGGATTCTTACAGGCGCCCGCCGCTGATAGCTGGATTTACTTGTGCTTAAAAAAACTGAAAAACAGTGAACATAGTTGAAGTTGTTGAACATTGACATATGAAGCGGAGAAATCCTTGTACAAACATGGAGGGAAATTAGCTGTAAATACAGGGTAGAATAGCCAGAAGGCCTGTTAGTCTCTAGGCAAAAATAGAGAGACAAGGGTGGAGAGACAAGAGTAGCAGATTGCCTATACAAAATAGATGGCTTTGGCAAGAATGGAGGCACAAGCGAGAGAGACATGAGTAGTGTTCTGTACATAAAATAGATGCTTTTCAAACGCCCGGTGGGCGAAAACACTAGTAAAACTGGAAGATCTGGAGATAAATCCCCTTCTTCACTCGCGCGATATTGCTGGATCAGGCTTTCGCCCATTGTCCAAGATTCCCCACTGATGGTGATAAGAGCCCTGTGAGACTGCTAGGAACACCCCCCTCTGCACCTCCCCCTTCTTGGGATCCCCCTGCTGTGTGACTGAGTGCTGCTAGGAAGCCTCCCGATCAGCAGGGGAACCCCTGAAGAAGAGCCAGGGTCGGGAGAGTGGTGTGGGCTGTAGCAGTCCCCCCCTTGGGCAGGTGACTAAGGTCGCAAGGGTAATGCCGTTTCTCTATGCCAGTGATAAGCAACCGGCCTGATGCCCCCCAGAGTAGAAGAAGGGGCTGTGTTTGTTTCGAAAAAAAAAAAAAGAAAAAACAAGAATCGTCATTTTTTTTTTTTTTTTTTACGCGTATCTCCACTTATAATTAAGTGCATTGTTATCTCCCATCTCTTCACTTACGAAACATAACAATAACCGACTGCCAAAACCCCTCACTCCATATAACGAGCGTCACTTTTAATAAGAAAACAGAACAATGATCACCTCGATATATAAGCAGTTACGAGGTCTCTCAAGTGCAGTGCAGTACGTGGCCCAATGTATTTAAACCAGAGTACCTGGCCCGGCTATCGGCCGCGGCAAAAAAAAGAGTAGAAACGTTTCTAGTCGGATGAATTTGGGCGCTCCTGTAGTAGCCCATACGTTTCCTAAAATCGTGGCGCATCGTTAAAGGGCGCGACTCTAGGAGGTACTGGTGGTTTAAGGGAGGCATGCACCCCTCCATGTATAAGCAGTTACTAAGTCTCTCAAGTGCAGTGTAGTATGTGGCCCAAATGTGTTGAAGAGACGCGCGCACCCCTCCACTTGACTTTCTGACCCTGAAAAGCCGTGTAATATGTGTCAATATGATCACTTCATTCATACATGTAGGACCACTTCATTCACACATATAGGACCACAACTTCGCTCTGCCTTGATTGAAACCACTATGAATTTATGAAATGTGGATTTATATTGAAAAAAGACGGACAACAACTTCGCTGTGCGTTGATTGAAACCACTATGAAATGTTGTTTTATATTGGACAAACTATGTGGCTCTGCCTACTCTTTGAGAAAGGCTTGAGGTGCCAAGTGTTTGATTCTCTAGCTGTAAAAAGGGCGAAACTATCACGCATGCTTGAGGGAACACCTGAACCAGTTACGCAAAGCTACGATCCAATATGCTTTCCTCGGGGATCGAATAGAGAGGATCGTGATGACAGAAGAAGGAAGAGATCGAACAAGAAGGGGTTAAAAGGTGTCTCTTATACACATCTAGATGTGTATAAGAGACAGGAGAGAGAGAGAGAGAGAGAGAGAGAGAGAGAGAGAGAGAGAGGAG